CTGGTTTCGGCTGATAGTTTTCATTTTTTACTGGTTTCAGCTGATAGTTATCATTTTTTACTGGTTTCAGCTGATAGTTATCATTTTTTACTGGTTTCAGCTGATAGTTCTCATTTTTTTCTGGTTTCGGCTGATAGTTTTCATTTTTTACTGGTTTCAGCTGATAGTTATCATTTTTTACTGGTTTCAGCTGATAGTTTTCATTTTTTTCTGGTTTCGGCTGATCTCATTTTTTTCTGGTTTCAGCTGATAGTTCTCATTTTTTTCTGGTTTCAGCTGATAGTTTTCATTTTTTTCTGGTTTCAGCTGATAGTTTTCATTTTTTCCTGGTTTCGGCTGATAGTTTTCAGTTTTTTCTGGTTTCGGCTGATAGCGGAGAACTGAAACAAACCGTTCCTGAAAAGTTCTGCTTTTCTCTTTCTGTGCTTTTATTTTTTACATTTCCTGGAAGTTTACTTCCTCTGTTCAAAGAAGATCTCACTTCCTGTTTACTTCCTGTTTTCCTCTGAGGAAACGTGGACAGCAGACCTTCAGCTGGCAGCTGGAGGTGGTAGCTGACAGTGGTTCGAGCTGACGAGCTGAGGGTACATCAGTTGTCTGTCAGTAAAATATCTCCTGAACCATCAGAGGGATTGGGATRAAACCTTCAGGAGATCATCTCTTCATAATGAGCTCTGATTTGRAGCTGAGGTTTGTTTTCCGAGCAGGCTGACGCCCTGAGGGCACGTCTGACGTGACTCAACAGTTCCCAGAATGCATCAGCCTGTTTCCTGTGCTCCTCGGAGATTTCACAATCAGAGCTGTTTCCAGAGAAAGTGTGAAACCCGACACCGACTGCTGGAATCAGTTAAAACCCAACTCCTGCAGAGGATCTGGAACTCTGATGTTTGTCCTTCAGGTGGTTCAGGACCATCTGGACCCATGAGGACCTGGACCCACCCAGGAGAATGGAAACAGCTGGCAGCAGCAGGATGATGATCAGCTGTTTGGTTCTGTTGGTTCTGTTGGGTCAGAGCTCACAGGACAGATCAGGTAAGATTTATTCTTCTTCAGTCTGAAGTTCACCTGGTTTCACAGAACCTGAGAGCTCCGGCAGGACGAGCTTCATTAGCTTTTATTTCATAAAGACTTCTGTTTATTTTAGATTTATAAATCTGTAAACCAAAAAACTGAAGTCCAAATTTAATGATTTTCATTTTACAGCAAAACAAATCATTTACAGGATTCAAAAGATTTAAAATAAAACAATGTTTTAATAGAAACTAAATAAATTTGATCTATAAGAAAATAAAGTGAGATTAAAAAACATCTAAAACAAAACGAGCAGCTGAACAGTGATTGGTTGATAGTTAACGAGCAGCTGAACAGTGATTGGTTGATAGTTAATGAGCAGCTGAACAGTGATTGGTTGATAGTTAATGAGCAGCTGAACAGTGATTGGTTGATAGTTAATGAGCAGCTGAACAGTGATTGGTTGATTAGTTAATGAGCAGCTGAACAGTGATTGGTTGATAGTTAACGAGCAGCTGAACAGTGATTGGTTGATTAGTTAACGAGCAGCTGAACAGTGATTGGTTGATTAGTTAACGAGCAGCTGAACAGGTTGACCCAGGATGAGTGGATCTCTAATCTCCTCAGATGTTCTGGACTGTGAAGCTCAGAACCTAAAGCTGAAAGGTTCTGGTCGGACCCTCTGGGTCACCTGGGACGATGATCCTTCCTGCTCCGCCCCGACTGAGCTGCTCACCTACGAGCTGATGGTTTTCAGGGAAGGTGAACAGGTTCATCAGGTAAGTTGTCCATGGTTCATGGCTTCAGCTCATTCATCCTGCAGGATACATCACTTCCTGTCTGTCTTCAGACGGAGCAGCCCGGCACCTCTGACCGGGTCGGGTCCAGTCATTCCTGGAAGTGGACGTCCTTTTTACCGTTGGAGTGTGCTTCTCACTTTGTCAGGCTCAGGTCCAGACTGAACAACAGACTGGGCTCCTGGCAACAGTCCAGCATCCTTCCAGGTGAGTGTTCAGCACCTGTTCCCTGGAGTTCTACCTGCTGCTCTTTAACCTGGATCACCTGGGTTTCTACAGGCAGAAACAGCAGCAAGTACAACGAGATCTTCCCTCAGGATGAGATCTACAGCGTCGGCAGCGTGGCCACCTTCTGCTGCATCCTCCCAGACGGGGAAACCTTTGAGGAAATGTACCTGAGCCCTGAACTGGGCTCAAACCAGACCACCAGGAGGCTCAGCAGTCAGCGGTACGCCCTGACCCTGCAGCTGGACGCAGCCTGGGACCGCTGCGTCGATGTCAAATGTACGACCAGAGGCCCGGACGTGTACGGAGGCTGCGTTTACATCGGCTGTAAGTACCGCTCAGACTCTGAATCAGATCTTTACCCTGGTTTTAAACTCCTGTTTTTATCTGATGCAGACCCACCTGATGACAGAGACCTCCAGTGTGAAACTCAGGATCTGGAGTCAGTTCAGTGTTTCTGGAACACAGGAAGAGACACCAGCCTGAAGCTCAAGAGTCCAACAGTTTATCAGCTGAACAGAAGGTAGAACAAACCACAGCAGGATCACAAACTCAAAACAAAGTAAACTAAATTATGTTTTATGCAGACAGCTGAATTACAGCTGAATGACAGCTAAAGAAGCTCAAACTGAGTCGTTAAAGTAGTAAAAGGCTATCCAAATGCTCAAAACACCAACTATTAGCTAATGACTCAGCGTGTCATGTTTGTCTGGTTTTGGTTTTAGCTCCTTCTTTATGTCTCGATTATTCTGTGCAATCAGATAAAATAATTTCCACCTTCTTGCTTTAGCACTGTACCTTTCCTAGCACCTTTGGCTTCTTAGCATCATAGCATTTTTAGCATCTTAAAATTTTTAGCATCATAGCATTTTTAGCATCTTAGAATTCATAGCATTTTAGCATCTTGAAATTATTAGCATCATAGCATTTTAGCATCTTAGAATTCTTAACATTATAGCATTTTTAGCATCTTAGAATTATTAGCATCAAATCATTTTAGTATCTTAGAATTCTTAGCATAATAGCATTTTTAGCATCTTAAAATTCTTAGCATCATAGCATTTTAGCATCTTAGAATTCTTAACATTATAGCATTTTTAGCATCTTAGAATTATTAGCATCAAATCATTTTAGCATCTTAGAATTCTTAGCATCAAAGCATTGTGGCATTTTAAAATTAGCGTTGTAGCATGTTAGAATTCTCATCATAGCATTTTTAGCATCCTAGATTTCTTAGCATTGTAGCATTTTAGCACCTTAGAATTAGCATCATAGCATTTTTAACATCTCAGAACTTGTAGCTTTTTAATGTGTCTTCCAGCCTGTGTGAACATGGATCTAAGGGYAGATGCTCCCTAAAGTCAAAGGTGGACTCTGGAGAGAGAACCTGGACCCTAACAGCAGAAAACATCCTTGGGAAGGTGGAGCTCAGTGACACAGCTGACCTGATGAAAAGAGGTTTGGGATTATTTAAACATAGAGACATTTCAGGCTAAATTCAGTTTTTATCCTGGGTGTTTCTGTTGTTTCAGTTCACATGTTGGCTCCAGAGGGAGTTAAAGCCCAGCTGATAGGAGCCAGAAACATCAGCCTCAGCTGGAGCTGGACCCGGCAGCAGTACAATAATCTGAATCTGACCTGTGAAGTAAAGGTCCAACACAGAGACAGGAACATCACGGTGAGTTAAAGTTTATAGTTCGTCAGTTTGTAGAGTTCTCTTTGGTCATCTTTTGTTGGTTCCTCAGATCAAACACTCAGGAATCGGACTGAACGCTGCAGTTGTGACAGATTTAATTCCAAACTGGAAATATCACGTGAAGGTCCGATGTAGTCCAGCCAAAGATTTCTGGAAATGGGGGGCCTGGAGCGAGGGTGCCACCATCAAAACTCAGGGTGATGGTGAGTGTTTCAGAAAATGTGAACAAATGTTTAAAGAATTTTAAAAATGTAATGTTTGTGTGTTTGCTCAGTTCCAGAAGCTCTGGAGGTTTGGATGCAGAGGAAGGAGAACCGGACCGTGATCCTTTGGAAGGTCAGATCTTTGGTTCCTGTCACAGAACCCTTAAAGGTTCTAAAATGTTTTCTGGTCAAACCTGCAAAGAGAGAAACGACTCCAGCTTCTTCCTGAACAGCTTTAACTAGCAGTTAGCTTGTTGGCTCAACTTTCTGTGAAGCTATTAGCAGTTAGCTTGTTGGCTCAAATTTCTGTGAAGCTATTAGCAGTTAGCTTGTTGGCTCAACTTCCAGTGAAGCTATTAGCAGTTAGCTTGTTGGCTCAACTTTCTGTGAAGCTATTAGCAGTTAGCTTGTTGGCTCAAATTTCTGTGAAGCTATTAGCAGTTAGCTTGTTGGCTCAACTTCCAGTGAAGCTATTAGCAGTTAGCTTGTTGGCTCAACTTTCTGTGAAGCTATTAGTAGTTGGCTTGTTAGCTTAACCTAAATTCATTAGCAGTTAGCTTTTTGGCTCAACCTACTGTGAAGTCATTAGCAGTTAGCTTGTTTGCTCAAATTTCTGTGAAGCTATTAGCAGTTAGCTGGTTAGCTCAACTTTCTGCAAAGCTATTAGCAGTTAGCTTGTTATCTCAACCTACTGTAAAGCCATCAGCATTTAGCTTGTTAGCTCAACCTACTGTGAAGTCATTAGCAGTTAGCTTGTTAGCTCAACCTACTGTGAAGTCATTAGCAGTTAGCTTGTTAGCTCAACCTACTGTGAAGTCATTAGCAGTTAGCTTGTTAGCTCAACCTACTGTGAAGTCATTAGCAGTTAGCTTGTTAGCTCAACGTACTGTAAAGCCATCAGCACTTAGCTTTTTAGCTCAACCACAGCTAAATGTATGTAAAATCCATGTATTTGTTTATGAGATATTGTGCTGCTAACACACAGACACACACAGACACACACAGACACACACAGACACCACCCTCCTGCCAGCAGGTGATAACAACAAAGCGTGAGAACAGGAAACAGCTTCTACGGTTTGAAAAAGAAGGAAGGTGAAGGTGGTTTAAAGTTCGGCTGTGGTTCTGTCTGCAGAAGCTGCTGGACACCCAGAGCCACGGACACATCACAGGATATGAGGTGAACTGGGACAAGATCCACCAGAACCATTCCAAACCAACCTCCATACCTCTCCACGTTTACAGCCACACCCTCACTTTGGACACGACACAGCAACACATTGTCACGGTAACAGCGAGGAACGATCATGGCCGCTCACCACCATCAACCATCGTCATCCCCGCCATGGGTTCAGGTAACGAGCCGAAACTGAGTTATTACAGCTAAAACAAGCAACGTGTTACCTAACAGCTAAAGTAGCAACAGTAGCTAAATGCTAAACTGAGAAAAAGGCAAATAAAAACTTAAAGTTGCAAAAAACTTGCTAACCCCTAAAAGTAGCAAAATGCTAGCTAAACRCTAAAAGGAGCAGAAGACCAACTAAATTCTAAAATACACCAAAACACTAGCTAAAATCCAAAAGTAGCTAAATGCCAACCAAAATCCACATGTCAACAAACGCTAACTAAATGCTAAACGTAGCACAGAAGCTAATGACTCAGTGTGATGTGTTGTTCTGATTTAGCCTCTTTTATGAGTTGATGGATGTGTGCCAAATCATTTTGTTGCATCAGCTAAAACCCTGTCTATCTTCCTGTTTTAGCACGGTGGGTTTGTGAAAGGGTTCAGTGTCAGCAGGAAGTCATTCTTCACACTGTGGTTCAAACAGCTGCACTTTTTTAAATAACCTCCTCCTCCTCCGCTTCATGAGTCAGATCTGAGGAACGTTTGTCCAGCTTCTTATTTCCACCGACGTGCTGAGACTTTAGTCTGTCAGGCATCCTTTCATCATTTAGTTTTTATCGTTTAGTTTTCATCATTTAGTTTTTATCATTTAGTGTGAATGCTGGAGGCATTCACACTATTGTTTTCATGCCAATGCAATGCACACTATTGTGATTCGTTTCCCATCAAAGTCATCTCCACTTTGCCATGCTTCTCCTCCTGCATACTT